AGCAGACTGCGTGCGGGGAAAACGACACCATCAATGGTGACATAGGCAGACATCGGGACATCGGTGGTCTTGCGGTGGAGCAGTATGAACTTCGTTTTAGCCGGATTTAATTTCATTCGCTTTCCTTTCAGATAATCCGATAACTTAATAAGATCGCCGTTCAATTTGTCCACGACTTCTTCAGTAGTGTCACCAGCCGCATACATGTTAACGTCGTCAGCGAACTGAAGTACAGATGAGGCACTCACACATCCAGGAAGGCCTCTTACGTAAATGCTGAATAGCACTGGGCCCAACACAGACCCCTGCGGCACTCCTTGGCTGCACGATGCACGAATCAGATTGTCCGGCGCTATGAGCTGCTGTGTCCTGTCACTCAGGTAATCTTTGAACCATGCCAAAGCCGCATCACCAACTCCACAATTAAAAAGTTCGTTCAGTAGCAGCTGATGGTTGACGCTGTCGAACGCCTTCCTCACATCTGCGAGAACGACGCCAACGACCTTCTTCGAATCGAGATCCCTTTGCCAGCTGTCGATGAATGATGCCGTCTGTACGCAAATTGTTGTGGCGGGATGATGGTGGGGTTCTCCAGTAGGAGGTGAGTAAGCTGGCGATATACATGCTTCTCGAGGACCTTACTAGCAATGGGCAAGAGAAAGACGGGTCGGAAGTTTGTCGGCTCTGAGCAGTCTCCGCCTTTGAAAAGGGCTCTGACGGATGCGTGTTTGAACAAAGCTGGAAACTTGCTCTCCTCAATGGATGCCTTGAATATTGCACACAGTGAGCCTGCTAGAACTTCATGGCAATTCTTAAACAGGATCGAGGGTATTCTGTCCGGCCCCGGAGCCTTGTGCACGTTCAGAGTGCGAAGAATCTTCAAGATGTTGGTGACTGTAGGCTGCGGTATGGATAACATTGACGGCTGGCGATGTGGACCGAATAGACAGAGAAGTGGCAACCTATCAGGATCAGTGACAATTTGTTGGAAAACCTGTGAGACTCCTTTGTGGTCGATTCCTTCACCACTGTCCTTAGCCTTTCTGCGGAGCAATGCATTCATCAGGACCCATTGGTTCCGGGGCTGTTTCTTCACCGACATAAATTCATTCTGGTAATACCTGGAGCGGAGACGTCTGTTAAATAGCGTTCCTTCCCGCCGCACCCGACGGTATTCTTCTAAAAGGGCAGGATCGTTTGATCCTTTCTTTCTGACTCGACGGTGGAGGTACTGTCGCCGTGCAAGGAGAGACCTAAGTTGTCGAGTAATCCATGGCTTTGGCGATCGTTTAATCAGTTGAATGTTTTTCACTACATGTGGATCTAGCTCGTCCAGGACATCATTAATGCTGCCATGCCATTTGTCTGCAAGGTCATCAACAGTAGTGTCAGCGGTGATTTTGTTTCCAGTCTCCGTGAGGGCTGAACCAATTCTTTCTGACATCTCTTCAAAGTCAAGTGTGGAGAGAGGCTTCTTTCGAGTTCTGACACGGATACGTTGTGGTCTGTCCACCTGGCTTCCTATTTCAAGACAAGCCTTTACAGCAAAGTGATCACTAATGGGATCTGGGATGACATTCACATTAACAGCAGTGATATCGCTAGTAATGCAGATTACATCCAAACAAGACGTGGAACGGAATCTGGTTGGCTCAGCCACTACATTACGAAAATTGTGGGCAGCACACATATCTCTGAAGTGGGAAGGAAGTGGATCGGATAAACAGTCTACATTTAGATCTCCTAGAATGCATAGCATCAATATAGCTAGTAAACTGTTCCCAGAATCCTACTCTTGACGACGGGGGTCGGTACACACAAACTATAGGCAGGCACCACGTGATGCGTCCGGGTCTGCGGAACTCTAGTACCACACTCGCTGCCTCAAGCTCGCTATCATGTGGGCTTAAGTGAACGAAACCCATCCGTATTGTTCTTCGAACATACAGCAGTACACCACCTCCTCCCTTTCCTCCACATCTGTCCCGTCGAATGAGTTCAAAACCAGGCCGTGAAATCGTCGAGTCCGCGATCCACGCATCCAGCCAAGTTTCAGTAATGCATAAAATGTCCAATGTATGTGTAACGATTAAGTCATGTATATATAAAAGCTTGTTCCTAATGCTGCATATATTAATGTGGCAGATATTGAGAGACATGCACGTAGATCTACATGTACGTACCGGAACTACGGATGCATCGTCATCGTCATTCAGGGCTGATGTACACCTTGAATTGGGCAAAGCGCGCACGCGACAGCTGTTCACTGTGTCCGGGCCCACCATGTCCGCTGCCAAACCACCGTCGCACCCCTACGCAGATCGGGATAAGACCTGAGCGATCTCCTCATCAGTCATTGCTTTCCCCTTCAGCATGATAGTATACCTAGGAAGCGTACAGCGAATGTTGTGCTCCCTGAGCTTACGGAACGTAGGCCACACATCGTTGCGTTTACTCTGCTCATCACGGGTAAGATCATGTGCAACGTAAACCTGTGTGTCGCCAAGCGCTGCCTGATGTTTATTGCGCATCAGGTGATCTTTGCCTGCTCTTGACAGCCGGACGCGAACCAGGCGGGGTTTGTTCGGTCGTGATGACTCATTGCCATTGGCCATAGATCTACGATCTCTCGGTTTGCCCAGTCTCTCGGCGCTGAGCACATCCTGGGGGTTGAGCCCATTTGGGATCAGTCCGTGTACTGTCTGCACCAGCTGGGAAGATGTTTCCGCAACATTTTCTGGCACGCATCGCAGAATGACGTTATCCGCGCGAGCCACATGCTCAGCCTGCTCCTGAATGCAAGAATGTGCCAAATTTGGTGTCGACTGTGCAATGACGTCCCCAAGTCTAGCAGACAGCTTGGCAACATCCTTCTTGATGCCGGAAATGGCGGATTCCCCGCCAGACGACATTCCACCAGTCAATGAGGTCCCTGAAACACACCGGGAAACTTCACTTGCTAGTTTCTTGTTTGAGGTGCGGAGCTCTTTTAATTCTCGCTCAGCATTGGCAAGACGATCCTCGACACTGGACAGGCGCTTGTCAAACGCTGTCAGTAGTTGCTTCGTGGTGGTCGCCATGTCCTCCCGAAACTCCTTGGCAAACGTTGTTAGAAAATGCATCACTTTGTCCAAAGGGACTGTGCCGGCTGAAGGTGTAGGTATGGCAGATTTGTCCGGCAGGCGAGCAGTTTTCGTCACGGCAATTGGCCGTACTGTGACCGTGTCGCTCGAAAGCTGGTCCTCCATTAATAAACTTTCGGTCGGGCTCGCTGCTTTGGCTTTACGACCAGCTGCTCGTCCCATGTCCTGCAGGGGTGTTCCTGGTATGACGTCTGGACTACACGGACTTTTAGAAGATCCTACCCTCCCACGACCAGCATGGGGTGGTGAGGTTACTCGCTTCAGAAAACTCTTAACTGCACTCGACATGTTTACTTATCGTTGTCGCTCTTTACTCCTTGTTCTTTTCTCTACAAAACTCCTGTAGTCGGCGAGTGCCTTCATGATGGCTGTGAAATTGGCTACCCACAGTAAAACTCCGTGTTTGAGAGTGCTTTGAAGATGTTTCGCGTCCTGATGGATCAAAGTATGAGCGCTCCTTGTGGATTCGATTATATATAGGTGAGTTGTTCAAGAAATCAGTGTCTTCTTTCTGTCTCTGCCCTCACGCTGGCACAATATCAGCCTCTATATCCATGACAGCTCGCACCTCCCGTAAACTGCATGACTTAGATATATTTTCGCCCTCCGTGGTGATTGAAGACCCATGGAAGAATTTATTATGTTCAGAATGATGTCCTAAGAATATAAAATAAAATAATTCTAGGGAATTGTCATAGGGTATTTTTGGAAGGATGGAGACAGAGAGAGAGAGAGAGAGAGAGAGAGAGAGAGAGAGAGAGAGAGAGAGAGAGAGAGAGAGAGTGAGAGCACTGTTTGAAGTGTTTGTCTCACTGTAATTACTCCAGATTATTGAATGTTGTATGATCTATTCTATATTTTCTATAATGTGTTTTTCCTGATTTGCGGGATCTCTTCTTTTGCTGTTTGCGTGTTTACAGGAAGTGGCTGTCTGGTGTAACTGCACCAGATCCTGGGGAAATTAAGTCAGATGCAGAGGCAGGGTCGTCCAGTGATGCAACACTGCCGTTCTGTGTGCAACGTTACCGCTAATACCCCGGCGAAAACACAAAAAAAGACTAACACGTGAAAAGACTACAGTATTGACCGTTCTGCTAATAAATGCATGACTGCTCCGACTGTCGATAATCGAATCACAGAGCACCAGCATGATGTTTTCATATTGGGAACCACACAACAGCTCAATTCTCAAGCCCAAAAATTGATGAATACAAAACACAGAGCGACGCAACAAGAGATCATCCGGCAACCAAACCAACCTGGGTCTAATGCACTGAATAGTCCTGAAATACGCAGGCCAGACAAAGCAGTGCAAGCACATAATGTTACAAGGTACATGCATTGCAGAACAAAGTGTAACCAAAGATACACAGGGTTATAGCTGCACACTTGTGCATGTGCTCGCTCGGCCCAAGAACACACGATCATGATGATAGAAACAATCCGGGGGAAACACGCTAACACCGAAGTAAGCATCAACACGTAAATTGTGCAGCTCTGAAAAAATTACATTGACATGAACATTGGTGTGTCGAGTGGTATCAGGCTTGAATAATCATCCAACCAAGACTTCATCAGGTCCCAGACGCTGAGATCGCACGCCGAATGTGAAGTGCATCTAGTCTTGAACCTGTCGCACAAGGCACACATATATGGCAAAATGACATCCACTCTGATGATTTCCAGAGACCAATCATGTCAGAACACAGAAATGAAATAATCCGGGGGAAACACGCTAGTACCAAGGAAAGCAGGCAAGACGTAAATAGTGCAGCTCTGAAAAAGTAAAAATTACATTGACATGTACATTGGTGTGCCGAGTAGTATCAGCCTTGATTATGATTATCCATCCAACTAAGACGTTATCAGGTCCCAGACGCCGAGATCGCACGCCGAATGTGAAGTGCATCTAGCCTTGAACCTGTTGCACAAGATACACACATATGACAAAAATGACATCCACTCCGATTATTTCCAGAGGCCAATCATAACAGAACACAGAAATGAAACCACGGGCTCAACAAAGTAAACACAAAGGAAATTAGTTAAAATAATCCATGAAGTGCTATTTTATTTCCAGCGCGGACTGCAGTGTGGCGTCATGGCACGATACCCGCTGAGCATAGACACAAACTCCATTTCACAGGGGCAAGACATACTATTTTGGAATAAAGTGATAAAGTACAGCATTCCAATGACATGACGGACACCTCGTGCAAATGCGTGGTCTGTTCATCCGGCCAACTCGGCCACGCATGGGAGTGTGTGCATGTACGCGTGCACGCAGCGCGCGCGTGCACACACACACACCAAGTATTCGGTGCGTATGGCGTACCTGTTGCGGAGATATGAAGATGGAATCATTATCATGATGTTACATGTACATGTACAGTGTATGTTTGAGTGTAAAGTAAATTTTATTTTATTACACATTTCTTCGACACAACTTACTCCACATCTTCGCATTTCTCATAATCCATCCACCTACACTCCGTCTCAGTTGAGGAAAAACTCTCCCAAGTATACACTAGTCACCACAGCCATGTGATGACATTGGGATGGGTCCCAAGCACGATTGCACTCTCCAGTTACAATATAATTTATTTGTCCAGATTATCTGTGAAGACAAAACGCAATGCATAGCTGCAATCGATGGATGAAGAGAGAGTTTGTAAATACACATAATTATCTTTCCACTTGTTCAGGAGCTTACCTATTGGAGTTCACATCGTTTACACGATCTCTTATGCTGTCTTGCACCTTGGCTTTGTTGACCATGGACACGCCATCCCAGAAGACATTCTACAGGAGCTACTAATGCAGAGCGTTTTTCACGCTCGATCTCGGCGATCTACCTCGTCACGCCAATAAAATCCTCCGTGACACTGGCTACAGTCACAAGAGACGTCTCAGTAAGGTAATGAGCACGACAACACCGTCGAGATCAAGGACAAAGAGAAAACAAAACACTCACTGAAAACAGCAAAGAAGAAACGAAGAAATGTACACGATTCCTATATGTTGCCACTGACAACTGGTTCGGTGGAGACGGCGCTACTTTTGTTTGTCCTCAGTGGGATCGTTGCTATGCGTATCGAAGGAACTGTGACGTCATCACTTAACAGCCCCATAACCACACAACTGTCTGGGGAAAGCGCGCTTCTTGTATTAGGGAGGTTCTGCTCTACGTTTTGGGAACGCGACGCAAAGAATCACGCGAACTTTCTTCGCGTTCTCGTAACGTAAAGAAATGCTGTTCTGCTCTACGTTTCACCTAGAGAAGTCACATGGAATGTGTACTGGGAATTTCCCCTTCCATATTTGGCAGTTTTCTGCATGCAGTTGATCGATACCCAGCAAATCCGTACGCATTTTCTCTGCGTGTGCAACAACGTAGAGAACCCCATCTCCGCGTAGAAATCTGGAGCCAAAACACGCGAAGCCGTAGACTCTAACCCAGGCACCTGCTCTCTACATGATTTCTCTACGTTTTTTGTTGTTGTTTGGCTTTATTTAAAGTCGAGTTCCTAAACAGGCCTAAACCTAATGACAATGGTCCCACTGGTTTCACGTACATGTATAGCAGCGTTTCTTGTATTATGCCAAACTTGACGCGCTGAGTCCAGCTTGACTCAGCTGAGTCCCTAACTGCTATTTACTGCTCTAACATGAAGCCGTGCCTCCCAAAATAATGGGGGTGGCCTCGCCGCACGCTATCCCCTATTCTTGGTCCCGTCGGTCTCTGTGCTGTTCGCTGTAGACCTGTGATGGCATGCCTGATTCGGTATACAGTCATATAATAATTACCCATATAAAAACCGCTCTGTGAGCGGTTCTGAAAAACCTCTACTGGTGCAGCCCCGTCGTAAAAGTAAGAAATTAGAACTGGCGCATTGTCCTCCCAAATGTGAACTGATCCACCTAAATCGCGATTGACGGGACCCGAACGCACCAGTAGCACGAGGTTCCTACCTGTGGATGCAGCTGGGAACGCTGGTCCATAGCCAAAGCCAAAGCGGCAAAGGTGGGCTTCGGGGTAGGTCTACGTACTGTAAGTGTTGTATGGTAACTTGATCAGCGCCGACGCCGGCTGTGATCCTGTGCCCTCCCGACCTCGTGCTACTGGTGCGTTCGGGTCCCGTCAATCGCGATTTAGGTGGATCAGTTCACATTTGGGAGGACAATGCGCCAGTTCTAATTTCTTACTTTTGCGACGGGGCTGCACCAGTAGAGGTTTTTCAGAACCGCTCACAGAGCGGTTTTTATATGGGTAATTTCAGTTCTTTTTCTGTTCCCTCCCCCATACCGGCCCTGCTCCGAAGATAAACATGGTGAGCACGCGCGCGATCCACTGTATGTAGCCATGCGACTGCAGTAGCACACTGATACATTCCAGCCCTCCCTGCACACAGACACATTGTGACAAACACGCACATGCACATGGCACACACGGGCACGCACGCACACACACACACACACACACACACACACACACACACACACACACACACACAATGTACCATGTATACGCCCGTCGCAAGAGAAGCACGCAAATCTGCAAATTCACTGGATGTGCACCCACAGATTTTCTCTTTATAGCAACGATAGCGGATCTGATTCTGATTGAAACAGATCAAGACAAGCGCCAGATAACTGTCTAATCCACACAACTGGCGAAGCCATGCACACACACACACACACACACACACACACACGACCCAAACAGGAAATTCTTGATGAACATTGTATAATGCCATGCAAAGCAGTAGCCACCATACTTCAGGAAGTCAGTTGTGAAACAAAAATAATTCAACTACAATGTGTAGGTAAGCTGGCGGCCAAAGCACAACATTGCAGCGTGATGATATTTGCCTAAGGATTGCAGTTTGCAGACCACACCATGGAAGCAGTGAATACAGAATTATTGTAATGTCATACAAAGACAAGCAAAGAAGTGGCCACCATACACCAGAAACTTGCAGAAAGTCACATATCCAACAGATAGAGAAGTGAACAGCATCTGGTACAGCCCACACAAAACCAAGCTGACCTGGTACTCGTCCGAAGATCGTAAGTGGCAGATCCTTTTCAACGATAGCATGCAGGTGTACGTTACACGCATGGACAAAATCTGACCGTGTCACCGGCATACATTGCCATCACATGCACAGTAGAAGCACAATAAAAGCAATGGAAAAATATGAAGGGGTTGCTGAAGCATCTTCACACTTCAATTTCAGACTTCGATGTGGTCGTCACGGGGTGATATACCTGCAAGATACAAGTGATACAGAAAGAAAGCATAAGGTCGTGAGGTAGGCTATGAGACACCACAAATGGGTCACCTACATGTATGTTCAGGGCTGGTGTACACACACACGCAGAATTATCATAATCGAGAATTTCCCAAACTACAGAAGAGCAATGAAATCCATTTGCATGCACAGGAGCAATTTGCAGTATGATGCGCAGCTCGGGAATACACCTGGTGGCAATGGATTACATTCCCATTGGAATTCCCATTCACGTGGGATTCACAGAAGCAATTTGACAGTGTGCTGCGCAATGCAACACGACCTGCGATTCTGCGTGCGATGCAAACTCGCATGCACAGGAGCAATTTTGCAGTATGATGCGCAGCTCGGGAATACACCTGTTGGCAATGGATTACATTCCCATTGGAATTCCCATTCACGTGGGATTCACAGAAGCAATTTGGCAGTGTGCTGCGCAATGCGACACGACCTGCGATTCTGCGTGCGATGCAAACTCGCACAAAATACCATTCACAGAATCACGACAAGACGTCAGCGATGCAACAGTGCCTTGCTGACGTGCCTCAAGTCAAAGCTCAATGAGAATGCGTTTGTCGGTTACAACTGGTACAAATGTACAAGCAATTTCTGAAAATGCTCCTGTGAATCCTACTTTAAGCAGTGCAGGAATGTCCCTCCTCCGCTCCCCCCCCCCCCCCTCCACATCCTCAGGGAACTTGACGAGGAAGGGTGGTCTTCGCGGTTCCCAACATCTATTTGCAGTTTCTGGTCTCCACTATGTCTTTTCAATGGGGATTTGTACGTACCATAAAAGCAAGCCTAAAAATGAACAGCACATTTGCCGTTCCGCCACTGGGGAGGATGCGTTCCACAGCTATCCTGACAAGATATTCCGAGAAGCGGTGCTGAGTGCAATTCATTGTGAAACTGAAAAAGCTGACCAAGCCGCGGCATATAACGTCTAATCTTCAATTGTAGTTCGCCAGCTGACTACTTTCAGACTCCATGTAGGTCGGAGTACATCTGGCTTAAAAGTTGACAACAACGGCGCACCCACATAAGCAATGACCACCTTACCTGTACTGTAGCAGTACTTCCGAGTTCCCGTATGGGAGTTCCCTCACTGTGTGTGCAATAGCAGCCTCATCGGACCAGTTCAATGCGACGCGGACAGTCCGACACTGAGGAGGACATTGAAGAAGTCAGAGACAGGAAGAATGGTTGATTTACAATTCAACTAGCAAGGCTGCACACCCACGAAGTTCCACTCACCATTGTGCCGTCCTTCTTGGAATGCAGAAATAACGCTTCTTCTCGAGACCGCAGCCTGTGACAGAGAAAAAGGAAGGAGCATCGCCATCGGCATTGGTCCTCTGCTATCACCGATTGCCGAGTTGCACAGTTCACTCTAACAAGACTGAGGATGTTCAAGAACTCCCCATCCATACCATTATTGGAGTAAGAGGAAAGGTCAGATTGCCTAGTTCCACCTAGCATTCCTGGATGCCAGGATGTACTGCCCCCCGCCCCTCCCTTCTACTGCCTGGAAAGGGCAACATATGTCACAGCGTTCACCAGTACAGTCGGAGGAGAACATGGGAGAAGGCAAAAAGGGCAACACACATGAATCCCTTATAAACAAGCAGTGGCAACTCTAGCACCAGAAATGTTGGACTTACACCCCAGCCATTGCCGCCAGATTCAGCGGCTTCTTCTTCTTGGTCTTCCATCTTGGAAGCACTCCTTCCCGTAAGTTCAGTCCTGGGATCGGGAGTACAGTCGGAGGAGGACGTCGGAAAAGGCAAAAGGCAACACACATGATTCCCTTATATTAAAGCAAGCAGTGGCAACTCTAGCACCAGCAATGTTGGACTTACATCCCAGCCATTGCCGCCGGATTCCCACGCTTCTTCTTCGTCGTCTTCCAGTTCCCAGATTCCATCTTGCAAATACTCCTTCCCGTAAGTAAGTGCAGTCCTGGCCTGGGTGGATGCGCAGTACATTGACGATGGCGGAGATGGAGCAGGTCAGGGAGCCCTATAGGGGTCCCGAGAGCAGATTGCGGCCAAATTCGGGACGATGCCGGACGCCAGTCAGTGTGAAGTAGCGAATTGCGGACCGCCACGTAGATTGGGGTCGCGGGGTCATAATCCACGGGCACTACTCGTACGTTGCTCCAAAAAAGGGCACTGCACTGTTCCACAGTTGCTGTTAGCGGTCGCCAAAGGCACTTGGTAGGCCGGTAATTGGGTCACGTGTCAACAAAGTGTCAACAACGTGCCAACAACGTGTCGACCACGTGTCTTTAGCGGTACACTAATTTTGGTGTCCCCAAACTAAAAACATCGAGCACCAGTATGGAAAGGCTTTAGACAGAAAGCCTTTCCAATAATCTTTATTTCAGGATTACCCAAAGGCTAACGCCTATCTGGCAGTGAAACCAGTAGCTAAAGACCACCGTGACCGGCGACCAGTCTGGTACTACCGACCACATTGCCAGGCACGGACGGTCTCACATTTATAATGGTTGTGCGGTGCAAGCCTGTAGCCAAGGACCACCTGCCACTAAGGACCACTTTCTCTGGCCTCAAGGGGTTGTTGTTGTTGTGTATACTTTATTTATAGTGGAAATTAAAACAGGCAAAATGCCTAATAACATTGGACCCACTGTGAATAACATGTTATAGGATATTGTAGAAAAGGAGACGAAAGGAAAGAAAAAACGGAAAGTTGGTTTCAATGAACAGATATCAATCCAGTGAGCATT